CGGGCCCCTGCCGCCCGTGCTGACCGCACCTGCCGGGCAGACGGGGGCTGGGGGCGCGCCCGAGGGTGCTGAGGACGGATGGGAGGCGCTTTCGCCCGGTTGAGAAGCGGTCGGTTTCCAAGGGCCAGCAGCCCAGGTTGCCAGGAGCGTGTCCGGGCGCTTCGGGGAGGCCGCTGTCTGCTGGGAGCCGGCGTCGCGCGTTCAGCGAAGAGCAGGACGCGGTGCTGGGTGTTTGCTGCCGGGTGACCGGCTGCATGTGTTCTGAAGAGCTGTTAAGTGCTGCCTTATTTTTCAGCTGTCAGGAGAGTTTAAATCAGGTCTCCAGAGAGGTGCGAGTTTACAGGGTGCTGGTGAAGAGAGAGTTTTCTGTCCCCGTTTGCCCCTCAGCTAATTCTGAGGGGATATCTTCACCGCTTCCCGGAGGTGTGGGCTGTTGCATGGTATTTTCCGCGTATACAAAAAACTACGCATCATGGGCGTTTAAGGGAGAAGGATTGAGTGGATGAATGCAGCCGTGGTAACTTCTTTGTTGCAGCTCCTTTCTATTACGTGACTGCCTTTAGCAGGGAGGGGAACAGGAGCTTGATCGCTGCCCTGGTGTGGGAGGGAACCTGATGGATCTGTTGGTTGAAGGGATTTTTCAAGTCTGCTTTTTGGTTTAATGCTGAAGCATTTTCCTATCTTCGTTTATGTCTTTATTATCATGTACCTCTTGTGGGGAGTTAGTTCGGCTGAAAAATGTGAAACATCACCTTTTAAGTTTATAGCGCCCAGGTGTTTCTAGTAGCTCTGGAAATCAGTGTGATAATAAAGCCTATTTTTTTACGAAAATTCCTACAGTAATTAGCACACGGCTGTTGGCTGCTTTGTGCCCATCAGGCTCAGAAATAGCTACTGATGTCATACTCCCTTTTGGATACCTGTATGGAGGTTTTGTTAGAGAACTGTTTAATGACTTCTTTTATTAGAAAGAGTGCGAGCTCAGGCAGTTACGCAAGTGCGCCTAAAGGAAGCTGTGCTGGCTTCATGGATGGCGAATGTGGAGGCCGAGCCGGAGTGGGAGTATCATTTACAAACTGAGTTAGAAAGGGGCATTGTAAGAGAGACCCGAGTGGCTCCTGTCGGGTGAAACACTGTACGTACCATGTTCCCTGCTGCGCGGGGAAGAGCCTTAGTACAGTGTGCTGCCTGGGGTGAGCAGGCTATGTATGGATGGCCACTCATCATTCTTTCCGGTAGCAGAGATGAGGTATAGGTGACTTTTTTCCACTGGAAGCAAATGAGTGGCATGGGAATGTGTTACTGCATGTATATTCTTAGAGGGAGAAAAAAAAAAAAAAGGCTTTGTAAATGGGGAGCTGGTTTGACTGATGAAGTCTGTCTTTACTATGATCTCTTAGCTTGCAGAGGAAGTATTTTACCATCTCTCCCTCCTCGCCTGAAGCAATTACTTTATACACCTTTCTCGATGGTCAAGAATTGCTACAGAGTCTGCTGACAAAAGCTGCTTGCATTCATACCTACCAAAATATGTCTATAGTTATTCTTTAAATTTCTTACTTTTTTAAATTTTTCTTTTTTTTTTTTTTTTTTTGTAAGAAACAAAAGCCATTGTAGCTAATGGGGAGGGAGGTAGCTACTTCCACAACAAATGAAGTGGTTGATGTTAACTGTTCTATTTCAAAACTAACACTGATTCATAGGTTTTTCTGGACACTCTAAGTACAGGTGTGCCCACAGATTTAATACATTGTGTTGCCATCTCTTTGCTAGTATAATGATTCAGTCCCCTCTCCTCCCCCCATCCCAGTCCCTGCATAAACAGCTATTACACTGAACACTTTTTTGTTAACCTTGTGTGGATACAGCAATACCCTGCCAAAATATGTGGATTTATATCACTTAAAGATCCTGCAGGAAGCACCTTTGGTTGTCCTGGCACATCCCATATTGGCCTGCCTCATGAGTAGCTGAGATTCAGAGTTCTCTGCTTCACGCAGCCTTTTTCTGGGGAGGAGCTGGAGAACTTGAGAGGATCTGTCATCTGCTGAAGGCCACTTGGGTGGAGTTGAAATCTGCACTGTGCTTGCTCTGCAGTGCACTCCTGCCCTCTCTCCCAGCTGTCTTAGGGGGTGTGTGCCAAATGAATCTTTTAGTTTTAAAATACATTTTCTTAGCTGTTCTCTTGCAGTAAGGCAAGTGGGAGGTCTCTTTCAATCATGTCAAAATTAATTCTTGTGCTGAGCTGCTAGCATTAGATGTAATACTTGCATACGCCACCTAGTTTGCAAAAGGTGTTGGATAAGTTGATAGGTGGTTGTGCCATAATCTGATTTTTAAAAATATAAATTAGTTGAAAAGCAGTTTCTTAATGTATATGACCATGAAAGCATTCATGAATGGGTGGTGATCTGTTGTTTCTTATTAAACTAAAAATCAAGTACTTGTAGGCGTGACTGAGACAGTGTTTCACAGTGCTTTAAATT